ATACACACTTGCGTGCGTATGCGCGGAAACACAGGAGGCAAGTTGGTCGAGAGCAGTGGGGGAGCTCGGGCTAACTGCACGGGGGGTGGCACCTCGTTGGTGCACACCCTTTTTTCAAGGGGACACCACAAGAAACAAGGTGCATCTGCATAGCTGTATAAACTCAACAGAGATCATTTACAGATTTTAAATGGGAGAAGGGGGGGGGGTGTTGAACGAGCGTCCACTTGGGGGTGGGATGCCCCCGTGCGTGCCTCCTCCCTCGTAATTGTGCCATCGCATATTACTTCAAGTCAGTGTCCATTTGAAATATAGCAATTTATTCCCCAAATTTGTAGCCTTGAAGTTTGCTTTATCAAGGGAAAAAGCCTCACTTCAACGGGTCATTGACTGAACCTTACTTATTAGCGTGGCGCCTTCATCAATTATTAAAGGCAGTGAAATATTGTGTCCACGTTGGGAATGTTGGCATTTAATGTAAACGCGTCGCCTGTTCACAGCTGTGGATATTTAGTTTGGGTGGACGTGTCCTAACAGGGAATTGTTGACTTAAAACCATGCCTCAACCTGCTCCGACATGAAAAAAAGAAAGTAAAACCCGGTTAACTTGCAGCGGATGATAAAAACGAATTTCACATAAATGTGCAATAGTGATCCATTTGGATTGTTTGGAATTAGTTTTCTGAAATGCTCTGATACTGTGGCGAACTCGGTTGAGTTAACTTGCGCTAGTAGCCTTGTGGAAAAGAAGTTTTTGTTGGAAACGTCTACTTTCAGTCTTCCATTTGTGTTTGATAATCTGTCACCGTTTCCACGAAGAGACGAAAATGTTCAAATGATATTTCATTTTTTTTCGATTTTGATGGTGTTCACTATTTGGTTTTAAAACCTCTTACCTGACTATTTTGACATGATTAATGACAAACTTAGATTAATGTTGTTAAGATCATGGATTTCGATAATTGCATTTTGGGTTTCCACAAAGAGACACAGATCTGACTGCCTTTCGTACACGTGCAAAACGTATTGGCTGGAAAGGATGAAAAGTAGGTCAACTCGGGTTTAGTTTTCACATCTTTGCTACACTCAAAGACTCGCACACGTAAATGTGCGTGTTTAGCACAACGACCCAAATGTAGGAAAACGTAGATTTTCAATTCTACGAAAAGACACCGATTCTTACCAATTGATGTTGGGTAATTAACCACATATATTACTTGCTTACCGCAAAGGTTTCTTTCTCAACGAATTTCCAAGGGCTTTTATTGCAAAAACAATGTTCCATAATTATGGTTATTTAATTTAAATCAATACAGGCGATTCACAATATTGGGCCTCCAAGAGTTTGCAAGGCGTTGGCCAATCACAACGCACGGAATCTGTCGACCTCTCCAAACGCGCATGGGTAGACAGATCTCTCGCATAACGCGTTGCAAACTCTTGGAGGCGCACTATTATGAATCGAGATTTGTCTGTCTGCATACTCGGGTTATATTCCTTTTATCCTTCATTTGTTTCAATTATCATCATTGATTGCTTTTTATCTGTTCTTTTCAAAAGTTGACATTTGTTGTTTTTCTCTCTTACTTTCATTCCAACGATGAATTATTTTTTGCATCTTCGATTTCAGTTCGAGAATATGGATTATATATCTAAACTTCTTATCTTAAATCTAAGCTGTAAATTTGAATGTTTCCAATCCACTAATTTATAAAAAGTAAAATAGACTAAACCCTTTCATTAATGATTACTGATCACCCGGTATATCCACAGTCCCTGCTTACGACAGAGGTTTCGCTGGCCGCATAATAAGTTTTGGAATGCTCCACTTAAAAACAATTATCTTTAGCAAGAGGTCAACAAGTATCAGTTATTGGGATCAGCGTTTTTCATAAATGGTGAAGACAGGGTGTCATTTTTACGGTACATGTCAATTTTGATAGTTTGGTGTCAGTATTTCCAAAGAGAAGGACGGGTTTCCTTTTATTTATTGCGAAATAAATTTTGAATTGTAGCTATTTTTAAAAAGATTAATAATTGTGCGTTTTGTCTCCTGTGCAGATTTTTATTTACCTCACAATATTCGATTTCGAAAATAAAACGTCCGAAGGAATATCCAACAATCCTTTATCGTCATGCTTCCTCTCCAAAAATGGATCCCTCCAGAGGAGTCGTCATCTCTGTTTTGTTGTGTTTGTTTGTTTGTTTGTTTTGCCAAAGTAACTCGATTCCATTTGGGTGGGGTTCGTACAGAAGATAGGGTCAGACTTGTACAGGTACCATGCATGCCATACCCGAAGGCTTTGTATTTCTATGAGCGATATTGTTTTTTCCCCTTCCCTCAAAGAGTGAAAACCTCAACAAAATTCAGTCCCACCCCGAGAATGCCAACAATCACAAGATTACATAGAAATTAAATTTTCTCTCCTCTACAAAATCCCCCTCCAAAGTTCTGTATCCTTCCAAAGAAGGCATTAACATCCCAATTGATCAGTTAGCGGTACACTGTACAGATTAGAATATTTACCATCTCACCGATTGGTCTGAGAATCACGCAGCCATGTACATATCTATGCCCAATTTATAAAGTGCATCTGCCTTCATTCTTGGTGAGATTGTGAGGCTGCTTCTTTGCAAGTGCAATGGTTTCGCATCCACGGCCATTCGTGGCCACCTTAGATTGTGGCCATTCATTGTGCAGGGAAGCTGATGACGCATGCTCAGAGGTCACACCGTGCATCGCTCCCGCAGTACATGTACATTAATTTTATGTATGGAAAGGACAGGAAATGAGGCATTACTGACTGCAATTGCGTTGCTATCAGACAGCAGCAGTGCTAGCGGGAAATGCTAGTGCAGGCAATGTGAAAATCAAGCCTGCCAACGAATTAGCCTCATCCCACTTTTTACCCAGCCGGGACAGCGTTCTACAAGATAGGCACGCCCAACAGTGCTGGGTTTCTGGAGATCCAGCCTGACTGTGTACAGTCCATAATGAGCATGCTGTCTGTCGGCAGCGACTCCCGTCGGCCCGGCGGCGTCCGGGCGTGCGTTCTACCGCTTCTCGTTTTCTTCGTGTTTGTCGTCGGTTATCTCATTGGCAGCTGGTCGTCGCCCCTTTCCACCAACCCTGGTAAGTTTTTCGGAAACACAGCACCTTGAAAAAAAGTGTTTATGGAAGTAATTTTTCCATGGAGCGCTTTTATTTTTGCGACTTCTTCCCTAACGCACGTCCTCAACGATCCGCAAGCCCCTCGTGCTAAAAATAAACACATTTGCTGTCGCATAATGTTGTAAATCATTATAGCCATGTGCTCGTGAACGATCTCGTCTTCCATTCCATTGTTTAAAAAAATCTTGCTCCTTCGTTGACACTTTTTTAGTTCGAGTTATAATTTTTTCTAGGACTTTTGTTATTTTATGTCAATCGATGGGCAGCTTAATTTGATAAAAATAAGGCTTAGACACCACAGGTGTGCCCGAAATTAATGGTATGGAGCGTTGAGGGGTTATATACGTGAATTCCATGAGCTAAACCATTTATTTTTTTGTTTTACAGTACTGCGAGTTGATGAATAAAAGCCACTCAGTTAAATGGAAGGGATAGACCTGAGTAGGGGAAAAATATTTAAAACCGTGAGACAAATTAGGCTGGGTTTGTCGTCAGATATCCTGCCTTGGACCTTTATTTGGTTCAAGGTTTTACCCCAAAATATTGAGTTTAAAGAGGCATTCCTTGTGAATTCCTGTACTAAGTACCCACCACGTATAGAGCAAAACAGAAAAAAGTGGTTAACAGAAAACTTCTTAGAAAAACCATTCCAAACAGTATTGTTTTGTTTGCACGTTTAAAAGAATATATATAGGCCTATACACGTAAATATGTATTTGAATTGATGGATGCCCTGACCGTCTATCTGGTCAGTGACCGGCATACGCTGCGGCAGATGGGCTAAAGCCGATATAAGCTTCGAAGATTGCAAACAGCAATTGTAATCCTGTGAGATGTCTGTTATAAATCAGTTTAAAAATGCATTGATCTAGACTGTTTTTTGTGGGCAAATGTTTATTCGACTCCAGTTTTCTGTTTATGGCGGAAGATAAAATCTGCAGTTTAATGCCAATGGCATCTCGATGGGGAAAACAGCTCAAGTCACCCAAACAAGAATTTAGCACACCTGTCTTTTTCAATTAGTGTGCTAGGAGATAACTTTGGACTGCCCATGAAAACGTGAGCCGAGGGATATTCTACATTTCACGAAAATTAGAAAAGCGATTGGCTGAGGGCGTAAGACCTCCCTCAGTTTCATTTGTAAATGAAGCAGTTTTGAAAATCAATATCTGTTCCCAAGAACACCAGGATTCAACCAGTTGCTTAAAATGTGTAATATCCGTAATACGTTCTCTTGGTCAATTACAGCGTGTCAACACGACGGGCTGCAAAGGTGTCAGGCATCTTCCTGCGAGAAAATTGCAGACACAGATGTCTCTGTCACTCTACATTGGCCCAAAAGCATTATAGTTTCCATTTTATGAAATGAAAACACGTTTGGCATCTCGCTTTTTATCCAAGTACTCACTTAGTTAATTATCACTTTCTCTTTAATTAAAAGCCAGTTCGTAATCCGCATTTTGACGGTGAACTTTAATATCATTATGTCGCCAATTTATTCAGATAAAAGCCGAGTGTTTGCACCTTTAAACCGATAGAGTTTCCCTTCGTTGTGATAAAGACATGCAGGAAACGCACACGCAAAATGAAGTCAACGAGGTTCTCTAAGCTAACACAAGACACCGCGGCGCCATTTTCACCACTGATCGTACTTTATATTGACATCACCACAGCAGCAGCATTTCAGCGGATCATATTAAAAATTTACAGACCGTCGAACTAGTTCAAACTAGGGCCCATAACTGAAACATCGAATGACTTTAATGTGATATTTCAGAAAACAAGCTTTCAGTTCCCTGGGAAAAAAACGACAGAAGTCCAATACATCATTGACTCAAGCCTACATCATTACATCATGCATACATCATGCTGCTTAAACTGTTCATAATATTCAGGTTTCTTCTGGCTCTGCGTAATAACTATATCTCATGTAAATTTAGAAGCTGATGGTCTTTACGACTAAAGTGAATTATGCGCCAATTAGAAAATTGATTCAGGCCACGATGAATACATTGCAACTGTTATGATATGATCTCCCCACCTCCATGTTTTAATGTACATTTAAAATTCAGCGCAAGCCAGACGGCCCGGATAGTTTAAGGGACACGGTATGCGGAACACGCGGCCGCGGAGCCGCCGGTCTTACGCTACGCAAATTGCACGCACAATACAAACCCACCAACAGTATGAAAAACTGAAATTACTCATGGCATGATGCAGATAATGCATTGGCAGTCACCATTCATTTTCTTGCGGGCTCTATTTTGCATGAGTGTTCCTGACCTTTTTCTACAAAGGAACACGCATAGCACGACATATCTATATTGCCAATTGAATTCTACGGCCTTCCAGGATTTGTCCATGCATGTCACGAGGGCAAGAAATACAATAGGCCCAAGGACAAAGCAATGAACAACTCGTGCACGGACTGAGTATGAAGCCAAACGCTGCTTTTTTTCTTAAAGCAGGATGATTTTCTGGAAACGCATATGAGGTTGTGAGATGTGCCTCTCTCTTCATTCTAAAGTACAAACTCTCAAACTTTGACTAGGCTCCGCAGTCAGTTGGTTGGACTTTGACTAAATTGCTTTAGCAGCCCTGCTCTGTATAGCTGCAAGCGAACTGGGGTGCGGTTGTTAAGAGTGATAATTGTCCATAATCTACCATCATGGACACACGTATTGGGAAAAAAAGAATGCGCTTTTGGTTTTCCCAATTACACAGTAGCCTAGGGGTGTGAATTTACGTTTAATTTGAAAAAAACAAACAAACGTTCAGTAACTTTCCCATACCGTTTAAAGGTGTAAACGTCCCACCTTTACCACGGTATCATTGAAAACTAACAAACTGTGCAATGTTAACAGTTGACACAAAGTTCCGGTGATGAATTCATGGACATTTGACAGTCCAATAGGTTTGTACAGGGAATGTCTAAAATCGCAATTCATGATACAATATATGTAAATGTCTGATCTCTAAAACATGAACATTTGCTGTATAAGCCTGTATATGAATGTTCACTTGTGTCGAGAGAAATCAGACATTCGTTGAACAAACGACTGTCATGAGGTATACAGGCTATTTTCTTGCCAATGTCAATGAAAAATGGTGGAAAGCGTCACACCCAATGTCAGAATCAATTTTAGCATTACTCTGCGTGTAATAGGGTGGATTTTGTTGAGCGTTCGTTTTGCTGAGCAATGAATTAATGAATTGTTCACCTGGGTAGTTTTTCTTTGACATTCTTTGAAACATATTAACTTGTTCTTAAACTTAATGTAGGCAGATTTGTCATGAACTGTAGGACTCTTAAGATTTTGTTACACACAGAGGTTATTTCTCTGATTGAACAACGAATTCCTTTCGTTATCCAAGGTGATTTGACTTATTAATACGACTTCGGAGCTCACACTGAGGAAATTTCTTATCATAAAGATATGGCATTCTCATAGGCCTCATAAACATTATCTGGCGCAGGTAATCTCTGCCAGTGAAGGCCATTATGATCCTGGTTAAAGTGCTGGATATTTCTTTTACTAACATCACGCTTGACACATGCGGCAGTTTTCGAATTTTTAGTTGTGCGCTTGTCGATTGTGATAAAGTCAGGCAAATGATCACTTATATCAGTCATAAGGATACCTGCACCTGTGATTGGAGAAATCATTTGCAAACGTATCCTTCAAGGTATAGAACTTTCACCTGTAACTATGGTAGGTTTATCAATCACTGGATGGAAGGAGCGCGCAGACAGCGTATTGCACAGAGTTATATGTGTTATATTGTAGCAAATCTACATGTCTATTAGAATCTCATGTGTGTTCTCATTTTCGATTCTACACATCATTGAGTAATTCCACAAATCTAGCAGAGGAGACATCAGGGGGCTTGTAGATTATTCCCGCAATAATGTTAAACATTTTGGAGTTTCCATGTCAACAATGCCTGATTCAATTTTTAGTGTCTTGATGCAAATGTTGTTTCTAATCTTATTGGCGTAATCTTCTTGGATATAGACTGCAGCTCTGCCATATTGTTTAGTTGGTTGGCAAAAGCGTTCAATGACATAACCTGGAGTATTCACAAAAGGATCGCCAAGAGACTTCAAGTCTTATCACGTGAAGTTTAATTACGGGCTTATTATATTATTTTATTTATATTATTTTCATAAACACTGTATACTCTGTGCTTGTCCGAGAGCTTGCGAAGAAACTTTACAAGCTTACTCGGGTGGGATTTACGGACGCAAGCTCTCGGACAAGCACAGAGCATACAGTGTTTAAATACATACAAATAATATATAAATACAAATTTGGAGTAGGGGCAAAACCCTTAATTAAATTAACATCTTCCCGACACAAAAAGCACATCTTGACAATAGGTGGCGGTACCCGCTGCAACACCTGACTCGGACCGGTCAGCCGATTCCAGCAAGCTCGGTTGTCGAAGGAGGAGGTGGCGGGTTCGAGTCCCACCCGAGTAAGCTTGCAATTTTTTTGCAAGCTTTTGGACAAGCACTGAGTATACAGTGTTTATAAATATAATCCGTCGGGTGAAGGCAAAACCGGTGTTTAAAATTAACATACCCCTGACGCAAAAAAAAACCATCTTGACAATAAGTCTCGGAAATACCAGTGATGGGAAAATCATTGTCTAAAATCCCCCCCGGTAAAAGTAAAGGTTCCGCCAAAGAACCCCCCCCCCCCGGGAAAGCCGTATTATTTTTTTTTACCAGATCCCACGATATCACCGACATGTGAAATACCCGGAATGAAGTGTGCCATTGCTGCAGATTTCAAGTCGATATTTACTTCTCTAATGCACGTGTGGGCTGATAAGCATTATTCAAACATGGTGCAACCCCCCCCCCCTTGACAAAAGAAGAATGCAAACAAATCGAAGCAGTGATCTTAAAAATGAAATAAACAGGGTGCAGTGTTCGGGTGTTGTGAAAGCAGCAA